ATCGTGGTCGAACCATTCTCGTATCCCTGCTCAACAGCTTCAGTTGGACTACCTCACCTGAATGGAGGGCAACTTTGGAGGATATCATCACCCTGGCGCCTGAGCTAGTACATGAAGCCGACCTTGACGGCGATACCCCGTTGATGTATGCTGTACGTCGGGCTGTTGATTCAGTGGCTGATACAAGGACGGTCTACCGGCTACTATCAGCCGGCGCATCCCCTTTAGTGACGAACAAGTACGGCGAGAGTGTGCTGCACATGCTGGCAAGAGATCTTGGTACGGCGGGACTTCGTGAGCTATTTCGAGATTTCGTTAGTCATGGAGCGGACATCAATGGATGCGACACGTCAGGTGAGACGCCGCTATTCAGATTTGCTCGCCGATTCCCACAAGACCCAGACAATCGTTACAGCCCGGACTACACGAAGCGAAAAATTCGAGGCGACGAGTATGAGGTTCCGCGAGAGCAGGGGGCTATAGCACTACTGAAGGAGCTGGGCGCTGATTTCTTTGCGAAGGATAATAAGGGTAAAGGGCTACTGCACGTTGCAGCATCTGGGGACGTGGTACGCTTCCAGGAGCTGACGGCTGCGGGGTTGGATCCGATGATGGAGAACAACATGCAGCAGACGGCGATTGATATAGCAGCGGCTAGCTGCAATAATAGTGTCCTTGAGATATTTGAGAAGAAGGCAAGGAGGTAGGATGGCATGATCTGCAAGGCCCATCTAGACGCTGTTGTAGAGAGATTTTAGGCAAAGGATCGAGATAACAACCGAGTCAGAACCCTGTTTAGTATCTAAGTGTTCTGCAAGAATGATAATGCCTAGTGGGAATAGGTCGTGACTTGGATCGGTGATCTTCGTGTATTCCATCTCCGAGCCGCAATATTTACAATCTAGGTTGCCACACGCAACTGCTTTCTATGCGAACGCTGCGTTCATTCTAGAACTGGTACCGGGATGTCCAGTTGTTGCCGGCTAATACCTCAGAACCGCTGAACAAGGCGCCTCATGCGATTAGAAGTCAAATGACTATGCTAATTTGAACCTCGTCGGCGACGAGCTCTGCCTCTACAAGACCGATAGCCCTCCCCAACAGGTCTATGTCGATCGCTCTGGCATGGGCCAGGGCAGCCTTAGTTATACCACCGGTACTCAGCATAATCCTAGAAAAGAGCGTAGGGGCTAGAAGGTCTACAAGGACGTTAACCTTGACTTTAAGAGCGCTAGGCTTATCGCTTGCCCTTATAGCCAGAAGGCTAGCAGCTTTTATCGCGTCTAGGTTGATGTCGGTATTACTACGCCCGGCTTCAATAAGCACTGCCTTAACTTTACTGCTCGCACCGTCAAGATCAACCACCCTATAGGCTGAGCTGCTCTAGAAGCCGTATCGGATTGTCACATACCAAGGACGCTGTACCTAGGCAGCTCAGTCTTTGAATTTCGGGATATGGTACAGTTACTACCCGGACATGGCAACGCAACTTTATTCTACCTAGCAGAAGCTCAATGAGTTCTACACCAAGCTCGGAGATTTCCCGTTATTTGCCGCATCTATCATTCTACACCTAGCATTCGGTATGAGCTACTTAGAGGTTGTTACGGCTTGGTCCCCCGTAACGGCGCTGTAAGCCCCATAAGCAGCTGAAGCACCTATGCTACGAGTAGGAAGATCAACCAGGATACGAACGGAAAACGTCGGAGCTCGGAACGGAACAAACAGACCCCGGTGGAAGTGGTGTGTGGTCGAACAGGTCGAACGAGAGCGCGTTCGACCATGATCGATCAAGCAAATCAGAATAGTATATATAGCTTCGCTCATTCCCACTTCCCTGTCTAGAGAGCTCTCCAGCTTTCAATACAACTTGATTACTCAAGAATACTTCTTGACATTATCAGACGTGAGTCGCCACCCTACGCTCAGTACTACGCCCCGTTACAACTGCTAACATAAACCAATTAGGTTACGGTTTACTACGTTGGGAACCTTGACCGTCACAATAGTTCACCGGGGGGCAATTTCTAACGGTCTGCAGACTAGCTCTTAATATACTTACTATACCGGGAATGGCCACTAATTGCGAGAGGCCGTTCAGCCTCGCCAAGTTAATATTGACGTCGCAAAGTCTTTCGATAAGTACTGAAACATTAGAGAGGCCGCAATGCCTCAAGAACTGGATCAGGCATGGTATGATGAAGCTAGGCGCTACGGCACCTAGGAGAGATGCGTTACACCAAGCAAGTGGAAGTAGTATAGAGAGTACAGATGCTGAGATTTGAAATATTTGATCAAATATTTCAAACAACAATCTGTGCGGGGCTATCGAATATTCCAAATACAACCCTAGATTTGACCAGATTGATTTAAGGGCGGCGCTGGTCAACCTACCTGGTGATTGGCCTGGATGGGGGACGCATCTAAACTCAGCTACTGGCGTGGCCATTATGTCGCTAGGTCAAACATCTTCGATTTCCAAGCCAAAGCAGTAACCCCTAACTAAATCTGAAAAGCCCTCTCGAGCCTCCAGAAATATCCTCAAACCAGGAGGGCATTGTCGCCTCCTCTAAATTACCGTCCTTGGGATCAATGTCCTTGACCACTGCGCTGCCCAAGATCTCTCTCTTCATCATCTTTGTAGGCATCTCCCTCCTTCTCTTCTTCGGGGTTCCAAGCTCAGGTAACGGCTCCAATCTCCCGATGAGCGGGTAAGACATGCCTTCGAGGAGAAGAAGATCATCTCCATCTTGTATCCCATTTGTTCCAACCCCGGTGATTCCTACCAGACCGGTTTCGGTCACAAAAAGCTCCCGACCTGCGAGAAAGTCCACCACGTCGTACAGGGAGTGGTGCACGTCATATATGACCTTGCGTGGCTTAGAGGACCAACGGCTCATTGTTCCAGAAGGATGACCCGGCTCATCGTGCGGCAGGTTGAGAGAGGATAAATCATCTCTAATTTTATCGCCCTCCTCCTGGTCTACTTGTCGTTTCTGCCTGTCACCAGACTCAAGAAGAGGAAGCATATAAACGCGACGGCTTGACGCCTCCTTGGTGACCCCCAAGTCTTGCTGGACACCTCCAAGATTGACGCTCTCCGTATCCCCTTCAAGACCAACCATGTCTGCCGTGGTCTTGTGGATCTTAGTTGCTAGATCAATGACAAACCCCTCCCTCAGGCGTATTTCCAAAGGATCGCGGCCATCATCAATAGCGTCGATGTACTCTTCATATGAAATTGGCGAATGCGTGATGGCATAGTTAGTAGTCTCTTCTCGTGGGCCAAGGCCTTCTTTCAAATGCTCTAGACCAGAACGGTCACCCAACGTGTCTGCCACTCTCTGTGCCGACCACAAACTGAGCCTATGTAGTATCTGGGAACGAAAATTGTCGTAGTCGAAGGTGCAAATGCCAACGAGGTCCTTCCACCTGGTCTCAGTAACTATATGTCGCGTGAATTCCAAGAAGCGCAACTTCATTTCGTCGATGAGATCATCGCGGCTCAGCCTCGACGTTGCGAATGCTCCATCGCTCGTCAGATCTAGATCCTCTATGCCCTGGGTTAGGTCATCCGACCATGCTCGTTCCTCTTTAGGATCGGCTTGGGGAACGATTTTAAGTCTCTGCCGTTCCTTTTCCATGATCATATCGACGACCTTCGGTATCTTAGCCATATAGCTTTCAAGGGGCTCGGGAACCAAAGATCCCAGATTCGTGAGACCGTCGATCATATCAACAATCGAGATGTCAGTTGTGAAGCGATTCGCATCGCCCGTCGCCCACGCTATACTCGGATATATTGTAACTCCTCCTAAACGATTGATCATCTCGTTGAATTCGTCCTTGGGCTTGCCAGATCCTGTATCAATTTCCGCCGTCTTGTCTCGTAGGTACTGAGGCTCCCAAAATGACCGTTCCACGTACCATAGTTGTTGCAAAAGTAAGAAAGAATCGTTGAGGGGAAGAGGAAAAACCATGATGATCTCGTCAAGAAGCACTCCATCCATAAACAACACGTGGTCGAGGATGTGAGCAGTAGAAGCCCAGACTTCAGTCTTTTTCTTATGCGGGCGTGGAGGTTGGTCGCCGTCTCTAATCATGCGTGGTCTCGTGAAATCAGGAACCCATGAAGGTACGTCTCGAACATTGCCACTAATCTGAAGCTGTGATTTCCTCCCATCATCGTCTCGAAGGCGGTAAGGGAAATGCCAGAAGATGTCCACGTTCATATCGACAATTACCATGTAGGCCGCGAAACGAGTAAACAGTGTCGATAAGGGAATCATGTAGTCCGGCGGGAAGAGGCTTCGGAAAAGGGGGTCCATGAGTTCTCGTAGGCCGTACACCATATCGTGTGGAACAGTGCATTGAGACTGCAACCCCAAGATTGAGTAATAGGGCATTGAATACGGCGAACAATGATCGCGCCTGATCATGACTGACATGGCTTTCCAAACTTGGCGACCCCATATCGTCCATTCTCGGCCTGCGGAACCTTGAAGGGGGAGGATGCTTCGTCTCGCTTTCGGATCGATATCTTTTGGATCCACGTTATTTCCAGCAACTTGTTTTTCTTTTTCCTTGGCTTGTTTGGTGAGTGGTACGTCGTCGTTTCGCGTCACTGAGATGAATGACTTGTCGCATGCTGGATGGTGACAATCATCTAATAGCGCTGGGTGCCGTCTCCGATGCTCCACCCATGAATACAACCTTCGAAAGTTCTTGGAAAGAACCTGGTTATTCACTTTGAACCGTCCGCAATACATGACTGGATCACGCTTGTTCAGCGTGTACTCTTGAAGAACCCATACCCTATTCCACCAGCTCCTGCTGCTAATGTCGATAAAGCCCTCGATCAGCTCTGGTCCGGCATCGTGACACATCTTCCAGAATGCTGGATCAGTGGCACCCTCGTCGTCGTCTCCTTTGATAGTTGTGGGATCACACACTGGGGATTGCAACATCCTAAATAATGTCGCTGAGGGTGGTGTAGATGGGCCAAGGTATACAAGAACCCGGCTTGCGCCAGCGTAAATCCTAGCCATGAGCAAGACTTGGTGGCATCGCTCTTGTACATCCGCCTGATTAATGCAAATGGAGTCGACCCACAGTGTCCTCCTCCAAGAAGGGTGACGAAGTGAAGAAAGAGCGCTGTGTAGGTTGGGTGTGACACTCTGCCTATAGCCATTCACGTAAATGAAGTGCTTTTTGTCGATGCCAGACTTCGCGCCCCAAATGTACGAGAGAGCCTCGTATCTCAAGTGAGTTGAGTCTAAATCTGCAGTGAAGAGCCTCGTGGATAGACTTTCATTCTCCGTAGCAGCCGGAAGAATCTCCAACAATCGTATGGTAGAAGTCGATTTCGAGACCTGAAGTGGCTGGTACAAAACAAGATACCGCCCCAAAGTCGTCTGCCTCGTGTGATGCTTGTTGTCCTTGTGAGTATGGCTCTGTGGTAAGGCTACTTCGAGAGTTTTCTGGTAGAATTCTTTGAGGTATTTGTGAACCTCGTCGTAGGAATAATTTTCAAGGTCTGGCTGCCGTGGGAAGTCAACGTCAGGAAGGTCTGCACTTTTTTTACTGCGCGATTAGTCGAGAAATGTTTTTCCTTAATATTGAAATGTTTCAAAGGGGACGAGCAACTGACTGATAGAACCAAGATGCGCATCATCTAGATCATAGTAATAATTCAAGATAGGTGCAATAAGTTGTCCTAACTCGCGCAGGCGCGTATGCTGCTGGACTAGTCTGCAATGCTGGTCCCATTCTTCCCACCCTGTCCACTGCTCACGCTCAGGTCCTTGTAAGGGAGGATGATCAGGGGCTGGGGTTCCTTTTGTTAAGTCAATGCCTCGCGATTCCATATCTAGCTCGGACATTTTATCAAGTCGCGGAGGAGGAGTTTCCTTGCCTAGAGAATCGCAGATCTCAAAATTAAAGAAAGAGATGGATGTCCCTGCTTTTGAGGTGGTATTTAATCGTTCGGTGCTGGCTTTGTAGGCTGAGTACGACGAAAGTAGAAAAAGTGGCTTTAGGCAGAAGCCCATCCTCATACTTATGCCTAAGAGAGCGCCCACATGCACAGCCACCGCCTCCATGGCCGAAGCAGGTTAGTCACGGAAATGGCCGGTAAGTAAGCAAGGGAACAATACGGACACTCGGGCGACTCAGCCACATTTACAGGGTTAGCTAGCTAAAAGGGACGGCAGTGAGATTTGTAGTAGCGCTTAATACTGAAGGGTGGTAGCAGTGAGCGCTAGCTAAGATTGGAAGGCGGTGGCATACACTCCTAATTAGGAATAGTGGACTTACGCAGTCGCTCTAACAAACTGTACAGCCACAACAAGGGTAATCGAGAATTTAGGCGCTGTCTCGGATGCTAAAATTAACTAACGTATTGTGACGGTCGCAGGCTTGGTTGCGAAGGAAGCGAGGCTTGACAAGGGTGTCAGTTGCGTATTCCGTGCTTTCAGGTCCTGGAATGTTCTATCCATTTCGATACTCCTTCTTCCATACTCCTTAAGCAACATTTGGGAAAGGACACAGTAAACGATGAGAGACTCTGTGCCGCACTTTGATGCTGACTAACGTTCGAGAAATGTAGTCCACCTCGGGGGATGACTGTTTCCCGATGCCGTGTGAGTGGATACTCAGATGGTTTGTGCCCCCTTAGGGAAGTTGCGGGGGCTGGAGGCGGGACCTCTATACAGGGGGTGCTAAAAACATTCTAAGCCCCACCCCCTAGAAACCGCGCACCCCTAGAAACCGCGCATTATTATAAATATCGCTTATTTAAAGCTTTATAAATAATATTAATTTAAATAATATTATAATATTATAAGAATATTAATTCTAGTATCCCTATAATCTCTAATTATTACTTATAAAAAAGGTCTAATTTTTTTTATTTCTTAATTTTTTCTAAAGTCTTTCTTAACTTTAAAAGCTTTAATATCTCCTTATAGGCTTTATTTATATTAAGAATCTTTATAAAGTATTTATTAGGATTAAAAGAAATCTTTATTTTTAAGCTTTATTTCTTTTTTTTTATACTTAAAGAGTATTAATTTTTATTCTTAACTTGCTAATATAATATTCTTATAGTCTAGATCCTTAATAAGTTTCTTAAAAAGAAATCTTATTATATTATTTATTTTTAATACTAAAGGGATATATTTAAGTAAAGCCTAAAGCTTTTATAATAATATAAGGGTCTTAAAAAGATAAGGGAATAATAAATAAGCTCTCTTTTATAGTACTTTAGGGGTTTTTAATAATAATATTATTATAAGGTTTATTAGCGGCTTTATAATTAATACTAGCTAAAGTCTAAAAGCTTTTTAACCTATAAGGATATTAATAGATATTATTATCTCTTATCTTACCTTATAATAATATTATAAGAAGGTATATTTATTAATTAAGGTATATATTTAAATTAAGGAAAGAGAGGATATAAGATAATAATATTATTACTTTAAGGGATTAAAGATAATAAGGTTAAGGGGCTAAAGGATATAAGAAAAGTGCGAGATAAGATATAAAATATATATATTATTTAAATAATACTTAAATATAAATTTATTAATAATATAATTATTATAGCTATTAATTATAAGTAATCTTTTATTTTTTTATTTTATTAGCTTTATCTAAGGGATAAAGATCTTTTTAAGTTATAAAGTCGCGATATAGTTATTAGTTTAGTTTTTTTTATTATAGGTAAAGTCTTAATCCTTTAAGAAATTAAAGAAATAAAGGTCTTTAGGAAATTAAAATTATTAAATTAACTTTTTTTTATAAATAACTAAGAGCATTAAGGCTTTCCCTATAACTAAGATATATTTAATAATTATAATTTAATTTATTAAGCTAGGGTTCTAAATAATTATATAATTCTTTTTTATCCTTCTTAGAATAAGGTTATTATAGCTAAGACCCTTTATAATTCCTATCTTATTTATATTATAGCTATTTTTTAGCTTTATTTCCTTAAGAATTAATATAGCGAGATAAGGAAAAAAACCCTAAATATTCTTAATTATTATTCTATTAAAGTAAGCTAAGTTAAGTCTTTAACCTTATAAAGTCCTTATATTTAGGCTATAATATAAGAAACCCTCTATCTAATAAATCTTAATAAACTTTTTATTACTATTAAGTCTAATAATATAGCCCGCGAAGTTAACAACTTAGGTATAACTTAGAGCAAAGCCTAAGTTATCTTAGGCTATAATCTAAGTAATAAGATATTTCTCTTACTTTACTAAGAGCTTCTAGAAGTATTTATAACTTATAATATAACTTCAAGAGCTAGAAATATAGCTATAAAGAGTTAACTCTAATATATTATATCGCCTAGTAGTAGTCTATATAGCTATGCCTTTACTAATTTCTTAAAGGGCATTTTAAATATTAATTTTAATATATTTTACTATAAAGATTTTAAAAATAAAAGAATTATCCCGATAGCTTTATTATTATACGAGATATTATAGTCTAAATATAATTAAAGATTAATATATTAATAGGGAAAAAGGTATATAGTTTCTAGGGGTATATAGTTTCTAGGGGGTAGGGCTTAGATAATATATTACTAAGGTACTTTTATAATCTTTAGGTATAGTTAGTGCTCTTATATTGCTAAACCGGGGTATAGCTTTAGTCCTAAAAGTACTATATAGTCGCATAATAAGCGAAGAGCTACTATACTATATTAACTCGACCTAATAGCAGAAACTTAGTAATATAAAGATTCTCTTAGCTATTTGAGATTACTTTAGACTATATACTCTCTAAGGATAACAATTTTAATTCCTTTATTTTATTTTCTTATCCTTAGATAAAGTCTATTATTATTTATTTAAAGAATATAATATAACTTATTAAGGTAATATTAGAGTTATAATTAATACTCTTATTTTTATGCCTAATTACTCCTCTTATAATTATAATATTAATATTATTAAAATTACTTGCTTTAAGTAAATTTTTAAGCTAAAGAGATAAAACTAATATAATTATTAAAATTTTATTATTAATAATATTACTTAAGATATATTATAAAAGGCCTTAATATATTCTTACTTAATATTAGAGAGTCTATAAAGGGAGGGAGAGCTACTAATATTTTACTTTCCTCTAAGTACCTATATATAATATAATTAAAAAAAAAGTTATATAAAAGCGTTTATAAAAACTAAAGGTTTTTTTTATTAATAGATTCTTTAATTCTTTATAAATAAGAGTAAAATAACTTTCCCTAAAAGAAAAGAGATTAATATTATATATAAAAATACTAATTAGAAAGCTCTTAATAAGATTAGCGAGGAGTCTATAAGTAAGAGAAATTTCTCTAATAGATATATTTATATAGAAATTATATAAAATTACTTTAAAATAACTATAAAGAAAAAATAATAAGCGAGATTTAATAAGAATAAGGTAAATATCTTAAAAAGATTACTTAATTATAAGTTATTAATTATAATAATTATTATTATTAGACTTTATTTTA